CCCCCCCAGACACATCTTCTAAGATGGAGGGGGGTTCCCAAGCCAAAATTAGTAAGATGAATGTCTGATCAGTATATGGGGGTGATGGGTGCGGGGGACCGTACATAGATGTCAGGGGTGGGGGGGGTGCAGTCGCCATGTGGATTGGGTTTGGGTAAGGTTGGGGTACTTACCATGATACCCTGCCCAGGCAGATACTGATTCACAAGGACGTGGTTGGCTGGTAGACCCCCAAAAAGATTGAGGTCGGACACCTTATCCACATAGCGCTGGAGCCATGGAGGCAGCCGCTCAGGGATCATCCCCCGGGGATGGGGAAGCCCACCTGGAGGCAGTGCAGTCTTGAGGGCACCCAACCAAGGGACCCTGGCATCCAAAACCCCAGTAGTGATGCCCAGTGGTTGGAAGCATCTGAGCCCCTCTGTCCCTCCCTTACAGCTTTCTGATTTCCCCAGACTCCTGACTCTCTGAGGCATCCCCAGCTCTTCCACAAATCTTCACCCCTCAGGACCTCCACTGACCTTCCAGAACCTTCCTGACCTCTTGGGGACACCCAATATCTTGAAGCCGTCTGACGCCATCCCCCAGTTCACATTCCAATACCCCAGCCAGGGCCACGTACCCCAGTTCTGTAACTTCCGCCCGGACAGCTGGGTCCACTTTGGCTTGGGGGCATTGGAGACCTGGGAAACAGAAGGGCAGTCAGTCCTTTTTCGGGACCACCCCTTCCTGATTCCACCACCCAGGCCAGTATGGAAGCCTTTTCCTGGTGTGAAAATGGGGCCTGCTGGTGTCTGGGATGAAGGGAGCCCTGGTGGCGAGGTGGTTGCAAATCGGGCTGCGATCCGCAAGGCCAGCCGTTTGAAACCACCCGCTGCGCCACGGGAGGAAGAAGAGCCTTTCTCCTCCGGTAAAGAGTTACACTTCCAGACCCTGGCCCAACTCAATAGCAGTGAGCTTGTGTGTGTTGTTCTCTGAGGGAGTGTGCTGTTTGACTTCTCCCCTCCGGACGACTGACTCTGATGCCTACCTTGGTCTGCTGGGATAAAGGAAAGGAGCTGAAAGCCAAGCTCCCTCACTTGGGTCCATGCCTGATAGGGCAGGGGAGAACTGTCCCTGTGTGTTTCTGAGATTGTAACTTTTCACAGGCATAGAAAGCCCTGTCTTTCTCCTGAGGTGAGGCTGGTGGTTTTGAACTGCCGACCTTGCAGTTAGCAGCCCAAAGGGTTACACTGTACCACCAGGACTCCAAAGGAACCAGGGCTGTACCATGCTGGTCTGAATCTACTCAGAGCTATGTAGAGGCTGTCCAGGTGCCTGCAGCCCAACGGTCAGTCTGCACTCTAATTGCTTGATTCCTGGGTGATCTCAGCAATCTGAATTCCAGAAGCGTCTTGTTCCTTATTGTCTGGGGGAGGGGGCATGCTGAACAGGGCTATCTCAGCGCAGTGAAGAGTGTGTGCACTCTGAGAGTCCTTCCCGGCCAAGATACTGCCTGCAGGGCTGCAAGGAGCTATCTCAAGCCAAGACATATTCTCGTCCACAATCTCCTTCAATTCCTGACTGCACGTCTGGCCTGGGACTCTGAAGAATTCTGAGATAATGGAAATTCTTCAGTCCCGGGAAACCGCACCACCAGAGTCCGTGGTGAACAGGTCTCTGGGGTTCATGCCACACTGAGATATCCCAGCACGAAGAACTCTCTGGGCTCGGTAACCTCATTGCTAAGGATGCGGGGTTTCAATGGGCTGCCGATATGCTGAGCTTTATAAATCCCCACAGCTGGTCTTAAGCATATGGATTGGGTTATCTCAGCACGGTGCCTTGTGCTTGGCACCCTTGTTCCTAGAACTCTGGGCCCATCCTGAATTCTTTCTGCACAGGGAAGTCCCATTCTGACTCAGCCTAGAAACTGGAACACTGGAGATTTGGCACTCCCCAAATCTCAAGGGTCTGTCCTGGGCTAACTCAGCTTATGTTTAAAATCTTTTTTCTAAAATAAGGAGTCCTGTTGGCTTGGGGGTACATGTTGGGCTGCTACTTGCAAGGATAGCAGTTCAAAACCATCAACTGCAAACAAAACCAAACCAAACCATCAGCTCCTCTCTGTAGAAGGATGAGGCTTTCCACTCTCGCAAAATGTTACAGTCTGGGAAACCCACAGGGACAGCTCTGCCCTGTCCTACAGGGTCGCTGAGTCAGCATCGACTGGATGGCTAAGTCTGGTTTCTCTAGGCCTTCTGGGAAACGCTCTTTCTGACAGGATCCAGCAGCTCCCGAGAGAGGACCAGAGACGATGGGGGATGGATGCTGTGTGGCACTGTCACGCCTGCCAGGTTTTCATTCCAGCCTTAAGGACTCTCACCCAGGGGCTGGGGGTAAGGGTAGGTGAGGGATCAGGACAGCAGGGGCAAACAGAACAAGAGGCATTGGGGTCACCTGTCGAAGCAAATACTCCTCCTCTTCCTTGGAGATGAAGTCAGGGACATAGTAGATTACAGGTGGTGCCTGCGACGGAGAGACCTCCCTTGTAGGTATGGTCCTTCAACCAACACCAGCGTCCTGCCACTGCGGCACAGGCTCTCCCTCCGGACCGGGGCTCAGGACAACCCCACCAGGACTGGACTGAATGAAGCCTGACATCTGGGGCCAATGCCCATTGAGGAAGGAGGGGGCTGAATCCTGGGGGTAAGAACGGATTGGGGGAAGGAGCAATCCCTGCCCGCAAAGCCAGGAAGCAGCCTGTCTGTCACCTCCCACACCTGCCCCATCCCCACCTTCATCCTCTGCGCCCCCCAGTCTGACAACCTGCTCCACCCTGAACGGTTCCAGGGCTGGGACCCTGGCGTCCTGCTCCTCCATAGGCACCAACTCCAAGCACCCAGTCCTGTGGGGAAGGGGAGGTCACGCTGAAGTCACTAAGCTTCCCACCCTCCGGCCACAATCCAGCCTTGCGCCCCATCCAGCGGCAAACGTCCTTGGTCTCAAACACCGGAGGCCTCTGTAACTTAACTACCCTACGGTGGGCCTGCCCAGACATGAGCCCCACACCCAGACGCTCCTCTGCCCGCCACACAGAGCGTCTTTCTCAGGAGCGCTGCACACACACAGCCCCCAAAACACCTTTCAGCCCCCCTTGGGGCTCTCATCCTCAGACCTACACGCGGGCTCTGGAACCCACACTCATGGCCCCACGGGCCCCTCCGGGTCCCAAGCTTCCTCAGAATCCCCATTCGGCGCCCCTCTGGGTCGCTGATCTCAGCCTCCTCAGACGGACGTCCCTCCCCTCGGTGTAGGATCTCAGAGTCTAGCCCCGAGTCTGACCGCTCTCAGGTGCTCTCCTGAACCCCAACTGAGTCCTTGAAGAACTCCCACCCTGCGCTATTCCGTACCCCCCACTCTCAGCTCCCTCGGACCTCCATCTCCACCCCCAACAACCTCCCTCACTGACCGTTCACCACGGCCCCTCGCGATTTCCAAATTCAGCAGCCCTCCTCCTCATCCCTTCCCAGCCATTTCCGCCCCACGTTGATGACGTCAGCAACCTCAGCCCAATGGAGACACTCCGAGACCGTACGGGTTCACACTGTCCAATCAGCGCGCTCACTGAAATGGCCGCCCGCCCCTCCACCTTCGTTTAGGGATAGGCTGCGCTTCCTGCTCGCACTGGCCAATCAGAGCTCCAGATGGGAACCCGTCCACGCCCCCTCGCGAGCCTAGGTAGGCGGGGCAGCGGGGCAGCCCCAGGGCCACCGACTTGACTTTGTGCTGCCTGATCCCATTGTTGCAGCCACTGTCGAGATCCATCTCAAGCGCCCTGCTCTTTTTCGCTACACTGTGTCCTTCTCCAGGGAGTGGTCCTGCCTGACAAGTCCAAAGCTTGTAAGACAGCCTCACCAAGTCCAAGACAAATCCGTTCGTCCTTTTAGCAGTCCATGATATTTGCAGAAAGGGTACGTTACAAGAACTCAGTCATTGATTCTGACTTACAGCGACCCCATAGAACAGGGTAGAACGCCAGGAGTGGCTGGTGGTTTCGAACCGCCCACCTTGCCAGTAGGAAACCAACTCAGAAGCACTACGCCACTAGGACTCCTTAAGGATACTGAGGCAAGACCCTAAGTTCCCACTGACCCGACACAGAGCAGCCATAGAAATATCTTTATTGTGGGGGGCAGGGATCATGCTGTGTTGGGGGGACATGCAGTGAAGGGGCAGTCATGAGCTGCCCTTGGTGGTCAGGGCCCCAGGTCCACCCAGGACCCCCAGGGTCTTCAGGTTCACCCTCATGTTGTTAGTCTGGTCCAGGTGCTGTGGCGTCCTCTGGGGACTCAGATTTGGTGACTTGCACCTGTGGCCAGGATATAGATGGAAACAGGGGCTCCAGACAGTGGGACCCTCTCAGGGCCTTGAAGCCATCCATGTGCTGGAGATAGAGGCTTTAGGGATTGGGGTTCCCTTGGGGTTCGGGCTCTGGGAATTCTAGTGTCTTGTGATCCATGGACTCCTCCGTGGAACTCTCATTTCCAGGAATTGGGGGTTCTTGTCTGGGGTCTTACCGAGGTGCCCTGGGAAGCTGGAGTGCAGACCCCAGATGGCAGTCTCCTCCGTTCCTAAGCCCAAGGACTTCCATGATGGGGGTCTTGGATTTAGAATTTTAAATTTGGGATTCCCTGGGAATTGGGGGATTCAGTGGTTTGGGGAACTGGGCCTTGGAGTCTTCTTTGGACTGTAGGACTTGGGAGCACAAGGGAGTTTGGGGCATGTATTTTCTGGGGTTCTGGATCCCCAGAAGCCCAGATGGGGCCTTCAAATTTGGGGGTTTCCCCCAAAGAGGGGAAGTCAATAGTTTAAAAATAGACTTTTCTGGATTCCTGGCCAGCACAGGGTCTGTGGGCCATGTGGGGTGGGCTTCTTACAAGGCACTGGGGTTTTCTTGAGGGGTCAGAGGACAGGAAGACTTGAGGGTCCTGTAATTAGCACTTGCAGGACTGTTTTGGTGTCTGTAAATTGGGGTTGACAGTAGGTGAGTTAATATGAGTCTCTTCTTTGGTGGGGGGTGGGGGGGCTGAACCGTTAATGGGTCTCTGATTGAAAGGTTAGGATATGAGGGCTTGGGGTGACCTTGGGGTCACATCTCAAGTTGCTTAGGTTAAATGGGGGAGAGTGACACAAAGGCCATTACCCCGGAGGTGTGACCTGCATTTGTTTCGAGGGGACTTGGAGAGGTCTTTGTCAATGGGAGGGTTTCGGGCGCAATGATGAGTGTCGGAGGAAAGCGCCCTTGTTTTATGGGGGAGTCACTGCCAGTTGGGGGACCATGAAAATCTGTTACGTGGAAAGGTGGGGGGGCTGCTGTAAGGGGTAGGGATGGGGACTACCTTGAAGGTGCTATATTCGGGGAATCTCTTTCTGGGTGACATGGGGGTCTGTATTTGGGAGGGGGAGTTAATATGAGGGACTCTGTTAATAATGGGGCCTCCATGATTGAGGGTTGGCTAATGGGAGGGTCTCTATTCTGGATGTTACTGGGGGGTAGGAATCTCTATCTCAGGGTGACTGGGGGGCTCCTTGTCTCAGGAGATGCCAGAAGGGGGCTCCGTGGCCCTCTGTCGAGTGAGCAAGTCCTCTAAGACTGCATCTCCGCCCTCAGCATCCAGGGGAACCAGCAACAGAAGAGCAACCTGGAATGAAGAAGCAGAAGAAGACCTGAGACAGAGGGCAGGGGCTCCTGGTCCCCCACCCGCCGGCAACCCTAAGGACCTGGGGTTTCACTTGGGACTGTCTCTTCCCTCGGTGGCTGTGCCTTCTCAGGCTGGCGAGGGAAGGAGACAAAGGGCTTTCCCTTGGCTTCCTCTACCTGCCCCTAAAAAGCTGAAGGCACCGGAATTCCAGGTGAGACCCTATCGTATGGAGATGGTTTCTGGGTAAACTTACCTCCGTGGCAAACTTCCCCAACCTCACTCCTGAGCTCCAGGCCACGGAGCCTAGCAACTGCAACCTGGTGGCCACAATCTTGTGGCTGCCTTGTTCTAAACAACAGAAGAGGAGGCCAGGGGGCGGCCACACACCTGGAGATGGAGTTCTCTGATGTGATGTCCTTTGGGGTACGGACTGTTGTGAAGGTTCGTTTGGGTTGCGACACTAGAGAGGAGGGGAGGGCAGAGTCTCAGGCAAGGGCATGGTAGGTGGCGTACCATATCGCCTCCTTGGACCTGCTGGCTCAGACCTATGGATCCCTCAGAGCCACCTAGGCCTACTCAGCGGCTCAGGGTCCGATCTGCAGCACCCCTCTCGTTCCTTCTCACTTACACGCACTAAAACCCCACATTCCCACATCAGTACCACCCACCCAGACTTGTTAATAATATGTTCACACCCCAAGTCCTTACCCGGATGTACCCATGTGCCCCGTGCCACGCTGACTCCATTTCAACAATACCAGCCCCTTGTCCCAAATAGGGAGCCCTGGGGGCATAGTGGTTATGCATTGGACTGCTAACCACAAGGTCAGCAGTTCAAAACCACCCGCCTCCCTGAGGGAGAAAGACAAAGTTCTCTACTCCCATAAAGAGTTACAGCCACAGAAACCCACAGGGGCAGTTCTCCTGTTTTACAGGCTTGCTATGAGTCAGAATAGACTATGGCAGTCCCTACCCAGACCCCATGTCATTAATAGTCACCTGTGCTCCAAAAACTCACCCAGACTCTGTCCCACGGAACCCTTTGTCTTCAGTAACTACACATGTCCCCAATACCTACCTGGACTGCACCTCCCCAATATCCACCTGTAACTCGTGATACAATATTTCCTGCATGAACACTAACCCATGTTCCCAATACCCACCCCATGCCTGCCCCAGCCTACCCCTCACAGCACCTACTCGCATAGGACCCTGCGTCGTTTTCCTGGACCATATGTCCCCAAATCTCTTCCCAGCATACACCTGAGAGCCCACGGCCCTCCTGCCCACCCTCAGACCTACACTCCCCACCCCACCCCCACACCCTGGATCCCAACTCACTTGTCACTTGATGCACTTTTTTGGCTATGATACTGTCCCCGGGGGGGTCAGTGGATCCACCAATCCTGGGGAAAACAGAGGGAGGGAGGGGAGTCAGGTAACCAAGAGGTGAGGTCTGCCCGGGAGCAGAGAGCTGGGTGCGGGAAGCAGCTGGGGACAGGGAGGCATCTATCTGGGCTCTGATGGTACCCTGGGATGAGGGCCAGCGTCTGGCTCACCTCTGAATGCGTGACGCTGGTGCAAAGACCCCATGCCTCGGGGGGCAGGTGAAGTACCGGACACCGAAGACAGAGCCGTCATGCTTGCCGGTGGGCTGTTCCAGCTCAATGCCGTACCAGTAACCTGCGGCAAAGGCATGTCAGGAGGCCCCATGGCTCTGCCTGGCCCCCAACCTGGAGCCCCGCCTCACCTGGGGCAAAGTCTGTCTTCCCGTAGAAGCGCACGATGCCCTGCTTCTGGCCTGCAACGAGGACCTGGTCCCCGACCTCAGCCTTGGCTCCCTCTCGCTGCTGCAGGCTGCCCAGAGAAGGGGATGACGGTGACTTCTTCTTGCCTAGAGGTGCAGGATGCATGGGATGGGAGGGGGCCTCCAGACACCAACCCCGGAGATCCCATGCCACCCAGAAAACTGCCATCCAAGGAAAGCCAGAGACTTCCCCAGGACTGGGGTGCTCTGGGCTTATAGGAAAGCTGAATCCCTGGTGCTAGAAAATTCCATCCCCAGACTGCCGCGGGGCAGCTTTAAGCATGGGAGAAATGAGTCACAGGCCCTGAGAGCCCCAACACCTTTCTCGGAGCTGCTATTACGGGCAGATGGAGAAATGGAACCACAGACAGACGGAGTTCAGGAACCCAGAAATCATCCTTTTAAGATAAAGGAGGGTTTGAGCCAGAGGGCCAATCAAGTTACAAGGGTCAGGAAACCCAGAGGCCTTTGGGCCTGGAGGGAAAGGAAGTCACTGGAGGCCGGGCCGGGAACCTGCAGGCCCTTCTAAGCAGTGAGCGGGCTAGTGGCTGAGGGGGAAACAGCATCACGGATGTCAGGACCTAAATCCAAGCCACAGAAACTGGGGTAGCCACAGACTGTCCCCCCAAAGTGGCCCTCCCCACCCTCTAGAGCGTCCCTCTCTGACCTTTGTGCTCCCTACGGCCTTTGCCAGTGACTCGGGAGAAGTCCATCCGGGGAGTCCGGGGCGTGGAGGTGACGGATGAGGGCAGTGCGTCCACTGCTTTGGAGATCTTGGACACGGAAGCAAAGAGACCTGGGGGTGGGGGGCGGGAGCCTCAGCTGGTGGTCGTCCAAGCTCTGTCCCTGTGCCTCCGCCCCCCCCATGCCGCCGCCACCTCCCAACTCCCATCACCCGAGCTGCTGAAAGGGCCCCCCCTGCCTCACCCACATCCCTTGGACCCCGACTGGGACTGACCCTGCTTGGGGGGGCAGATGAAGTACCGGACACCCCCAACACTGCCATCATTCTTGCCCTCAGGTTCATCCAGCTCCACGCCCACCCACTGGCCGCTGGCGAACTCCGTGGTCCCGCAGAATCGCAGGGTGCCCCTCTGGGGAGGCAAAGGAGGACATGGGGGCTGGAGCGCTGAGTGGACCGACAGACACATGGTATGGTGAGGGGCCTGGGGTTCCTACGTCAGCTTGTTGCTTCCAGGAGTCAACACCTCTGAATTTCCTCAGCTGTGAAACGGGCCGAGAATGAGCACCCGCGAGAAATCAGATGGTTACAGACCTTCCCTGTCCCATCCAGCAAGACATGACTATGGACACAGTGTGACCACCGAATGATCATGGCATTGTAGCTCCGTCCTCACCACATTTAAAGGGTGTACACGTTTGAACTCATTTAAGTCTCACCCAACACCCCAGAGCTAGTTCTATCATACCCTCACTCTGCAGACGAGAAAACTACCATCCAGAGGTGAGACCACGGAGCCTGGGTCTTGTGGCAAAACAGAGGTTTACATGGGCAAGTCCCCGGGCCTGGGCCAGTGGCCACTGTGCTATGCTGTGTCTCTACAGGGCGGCGATCGCCATCGCAGGTCTTCCACAAAGGGTTTCGCTTCTCGGAGCCCGCGGCCGTCTCCTGGGCTGTAAAATGGGGCAAGTCCCCAGTCTCTTCTCAGTAGGAGATCACGTGGATTTGGTTAGCACACGGAAGGGAAGCTTCTGAGATTGGGCTACACTTGCAAAGCTCTTGATTCGGAAACAAAATCCAAAGTCCTCTTGGTGGCCTGCAGGTCTGGTGTGATCCAACCCTTGCCAACCTCTCCAAGTCTCCCCCCAGTGGTAAACTCCCCTCCATCCCACTGCCCGTCCCCAACTGTGGGCGCTGGGTCCTGTGGTTTCCTCGGCCTCCATAATCTCATAGAGCGAGCTCCTCCCTGTCTCGTCTGGAAATCTCCTCAGAAAGGGCTTGGTGGGTCAGCCTGCCTAAAACCACCCCTGCCTTCCCTGCCGCCTCCAGAAGAGTCCTCTCTGCCCCCAGAAATGAGCTCAAACACGGCTTCCCTGTAGTGCCTGTCTCCCCTGCATTACAGTGAACCCTCGCCACTTCGCGCTTCGACTTCCGCGGCTTCACTCTATCGCGGTTTTTGCGTAACAGCACCCACTGCCTATACCCGCTCCTTCAGAGGAAAAAGACGGCGACCCACCTGTAGAGTACATCCCTTAAGTCATTTCATAGGC